CTGTTTTTAAATTTTAGATGTATTATGTATTTTATATATATTTATAGTTTTAATGTCTTTGTAAGCCGCCCAGAGTCCCCTATTGTGGGGGAGATGGGCGGTGGGGAAATCCAATAAATAAAATAAAATAAATATAAATAAATAAAAGCAGAGCTCCTTCAACAGTGTCTCTGCTCCTCTTGTATAAGTATAAAGATAAGATGAATCAGGGACACAAATAGGCCCAGTTAACTTCTTTCTCCTCTTATGTATAGCCTCTGTTGCCCCAGTCAGACCACTCTAGCTTTTAAAAAGAAAACACAACAAAAAAAAAGCTCAATGACTAGTCACCACAAAGTTCCCTAAGAAGTAACTAAGGAGAAAAAATACTGCAACCATATGTAAGCTACTTTGTTTCAAATATAATCTCCATCAATATATATTATTCTTAAATATACTTAAAAGACTAAACAATTATTTATGGAATTAAGTGTTAAAGTTTTAGGAACATCCTGGCAACAGTATGGAAGAGGATTGCTTTGCTCTGAAAATCATTAGGAAGCCTTTAAAAATCCACTCATTAAAGTCACCCTTAAGGTAACAGCACTTCTTTCACATTCACAGAGGTGTGATTTATTAAAGCTGCTAGACAGTATCCCAATCTTTTCCTAAAATGCAGAGCATGCCTAACTAGCTCCAACTCTGCTTCATTTTTTTTCTAGATCAGCCAAAATGAGCTAGATACTGCCACCTGCTGACTACTGGATTTTGTTTAACCCAAACTTTTAGTCAAAATCTGTACTGTTTTAGAAATTACAGCACCATTCACCCACATGCATTAGGCAAACATAATAACAATCTACAATAGATACTTCAAGGCATTTCCCCAGCTAGCCAAGCCCTGAATCTGACATTCTGTCATTTAGCAACGTCTAATGCTCTCAAAATTCTTAATTTCACTCTGAATACATTCCTAATGATTACTAAATTAGCTTTTCCTTAGCTCTACAAGAAGCCCATTGTAAGTTTCAGGCACAAAAAAATCCTGAAATGTTGCCATATAAGGATCAAACTTTCCAATCTTTCAGAAGTCTTCATCAAGCTGGACGTTAAGCTTGATAGCCAGCTCACAACTCTGTAGAGATACACACATGCTATAATGCAATATATGTTTTGCTCTGTATCCCCAAATAAGTTATCACTTTCTGGAAGTTCTGGATCCATTCTGAATCAGCCACGATTTAGTGTAAACAAAACGCAGAACATTTTGCTTCTTGTGGATTTTGGCTAAAACAAAATCCCAGAGTGATGTTACAGGGCGAGCGGGCAGGGCAAGTCTGGTGCATGTTGCTCCCTCTCCTTCCTCTCCTTCCCCATAACCTGTGAACTGGCCTGCATGCCCCCCTTCAACTTCCCAATGCATTCCCTCTGTCACCATCACTTATGTTCCAGCACAGCATATCCCACAAGTCACCCCAATTTTCCCAGTACTGTTCCTTACCCTCTATCCCTTTAACAGCTGTCAATGTCCTGTCAGCCTATCCCACATCTTCCCAGTACCTTTCCTTTCTTCCCTGCACTTGCCACTGCCCACAAACCCACACCCTTGGATTATTTCTACTGCTTCCCCCCACCCCCCAATTTCTGCTAAGAAAAAACACATCTTGGTCTATAATTAGAATAGTCCTATTTCATTTAGTTTGGGCATGCACTACCCAAAACTAACTTATGCCTAAAAGCCTTGGGGGATTTTTTAAATAATTCAACAGTAAAAATAGTTATTCAACTCAGGACTGACATTATAAGCTAGCAGCCTCAGGCAGCCATGACAACCCCAGTGCTTCCTGTGGTTCCAACAGTTCTGAATCCAGAGAGTTCCCACCACTAGTTAAAATTCCTTGGGAAATGTCTCCAGTTGCCTATTCTTGTAGCTCATCTCCTACCACATGAACTCAAAGAGAAAACACAACCAAACCAAAAAGGTCACTGCTCCTGAAAGAGTAAGCAACTTACTCTCTTTTGAGGAGATGGTTAGTACAACAGTTCAGAGTGAAAATAGCTGTTTGTGAACTGTAGCAGAACTAGTCATAATCTCATTTAATTCACTCAGCTATGCTGTTCATTGAAGGTAGAATAGTGGCATAATTCCATCTCTAAAGGAGAGGATGTAGATCCCGCCCAGTCTCTGTTTCTTCAGAGGAAGAAGGATTTGGGCATAGTGAGAGTGGAAAGAGCAAGTTGGCCAATCACATCTACATTCCCCAGAAAACAAGAGTAGGAGAGGCCTGGAATTGGTCCTGATCTTGCCTGTGCCTACTTCTTCCCCATCTAGGGCACAAGACTGGACTGATTGCTACTTAAAACTTAATGGGTTGATAGCAGCTCCTGCTACAGGTTGTGTACAAAACGTCACCCTTAATGGAAACAGCAATACACCACCTATGTGGAAGTTAAAAGCAAGCACTCCCACACCCAGATACCACCGTTTGCTTTCTTCTGATGGTGCAGAGTATCAAACTAGACAGGCAAGGGACCAAAGGGGTGATGCTGCTGGTTTCCCCCCAAATTGGAATCCAATCACTCATCCCCTCTCAATTAAAAGTGAACATGTCTGCTTCACAGAGAAGCTATTATTTCTCTAAGGCTGCTTCCCCCCAATCTGAGTGGATATTCTAGCCCTGCAAGGACGCCACGCTGCTTCCCTCTCTCAAACCACGGGCGCGACCGCTCCACCTTTGGGGACTGCGGGGCGGATGGAACGGCCGGCACGCGAGAGCTCGAAGCCATCCCAGGTAGCCCCTCCTTCTCCCCTGCTCCAGCCCCGCCTTATTAGGCGGAGGGGGTGAGGGGGGAGAGATGGAGGGGGCCGCGACCAGCGTAATGCTGGGAAGAGGAAGCAGGGAAACGCTCCCAGGCGGCAACAGCGGCGAGAACAGCGCCTGGAGGGGTCACGAACTCTGACCTTTTGCCAAAAGGCACCAGCCTCCCCCCGAACAATTAACCACCACTCCTCCTCCCCCCGCTCCTACGCGCAAGGCTGGTTAACCCCTTCGGTGCCGCTATCTCCGCCTTCCGCTCCCCCTCCTTGGTGGAAGGCGGGGGGGGCCTCACGAACCAGGCCCGGCCGAACCGTTACGAGGCATCCGCGGCCAAGCTCGCTTGGCACCAAATCCTGAGGTAAAAGACCGCCTTCGCCTTCCCTTATGCTTGCGGGCGTCGTATTTTTCTCTCCGGCCCCGCGGCTGAGGGCGGGCGGTGCTGCCACATGGCGGAGCGTCTGACGGGCCGCGCGTGTCTCGGTGGGTAAAAGAGGAGCA